TCTGAAGTGCTGTACTGTATATTTGTAAGTTTTCTCCCCCACAAACACAATAATGTCGATGAAACGTTTTGCACAGTCAAAGGCACCTACGGTAGCACCTAAGAGGCAGAGGAAGATGCTAACCATTGCACAAAAAGTTGGACTTCTGGACTTGCTAAAGAAGTTAGAAGTTACCGTATTTTTCGAACCAGAAGGTGCATTAAGTGAAACAAAACAGTCAGATAAGTCAAACTTTACTCAAGTCACTCTTCTTGCTTCCTCTACTTCCGTACCATTGATTCATTAATGTTGCATTCTCTGGCAGCTGCTCTATTCTCATGGTCTGGACCTGAAAACAGGGTTTGATCTTTGGTTTCATTCTATAATACTGGACTTATTTTTCTATGAAAATTTGAAGTTTGAGAGTGTTTAAACAAGAGAGAAAAGTGTGAAAATGTTCATGCCTGTCTTAGAAAACTTTTACAGCCTTATAACATCTATAATAATTGTAAAAAATAAAGCTGGCTACTTTGCGGATTTAACCTATTGCGGGTTATTTTTAGAACGCAACTCCCGTGATAAACGAGGGACCACTGGACTTCCTTTTATAACATGGCTGCACATGACATATGACAGCCTGGATCGATCTTTATTAAGATCCCATAAAGGGAATGAACTGCACATAATAAATAGGAAACAGTAATAACCACACATAAAACAAATGGATAGGGCGATGGCTGAGTGCACAAATGTCTGTGAAGGAAAGTTATTACATTAAACATACAATAAACAATAGGCTCAATATGAAATATTATACCTCTCCTCTGTGGTTATAACACATTTTCTACTGCAATTTATGTTTTTGACAGACAGCTGCTGTAACACTGTGACCATAATCCAAAGTTATGAGGGATATTCAGGGGACATCATTTGTTCGTATGAGCCTCGGTACCAGAACTACTTCAAGTACATCTGCAGAGGAAAGCGGTCCTCCACGTGTCTGCAACAGGCACTAATCACCTCTGACAACAAACAAAATGGTAGAATCAAATTTAATGATGATAAGAGGTCAGGAAAATTCACAATGACCATCACCAGTTTGGCCCAAAGTGATTCAGGAACATACCTCTGTGGTGTCCAAAAAAACTCTGTCCTGGATGTTTTTTCTGCTGTTGAACTGAACGTCAAAGGTGAGAGGTCATAGTTATATCTCATATGTCATTGTTTTGTTTTTGTTTTTTTAAAGGACTCTTTTATATGGTTTGATATTTGATCATCCTTTAATATTTTTTTGTTTTCCAATCTGACAGAGTGGTGCTGTGTCAAGTCAAAAACAGCAAGTGGGACTGCAGGATATCCACTAACATTTCAGTGCCCTTATCCTTCACAACATTATGATAATAGCAAGTTTCTCTGCAAAGGAGACCACCGCAACAATTGTACAAATGTGACGAGTCAAAGCAGATTCACAGTGCAAGATGATGGTTTTTCCCACTTTTTCTTGGTGATTATCGCAGAGCTGGAAACAGCTGATGCTGGGACATACTGGTGTGGGTCAGACTCACAGTGGAGAGTTGAAAACTACACTAAGGTTGAGCTGTCAGTGGGTAAGGTGAACAACCATTTACATGACAGCAAAATTAATATAGCTGAAAGTTCCATCTTTGTTTGGACCCCACTAAACATGGGACTGTGGTTTATGGTTTAGTTATCTGACATGATCAAATAATTGCAAAACCAGCAGCACCGTGCATCACACAATTTGCAAGCAATCTGCCAAAATTAGGACTACTGAGAACACCACTTACTTATACTTAGACATATCACTTCCCAAATCTTTTGCTGGCTTCAGTGTGTGTGTGTGTGTGTGTGTGTGTGTGTGTGTGTGTGTGTGTGTGTGTGTGTGTGTGTGTGTGTGTGTGTGGTGGTGTGAGTGGTGAGAGTGTGGCTTGAGTGTGTGTGTGTGTGCATGTGTTAAATTTTCTCTTTTTTCAGACGATTCTCTATTTCCCCTAAAAATGGTTATGCGTCTCCAAAAACCATGACATTGGTCACTTAAATCACACCTTTGCACTTCAGCTGGTTGTCTTACCTATACTCACGTATCTAAAAGCACTGAGTTGCTGTTATGTGACTACAACAAAAATTTAGTTATTTTTAGGGGATGTGTGTAGTTTCATGGTTACAATGTAGATGATTCCCCCTGGGATTAAACCAAGTCAATCCGGTCTTTAAGTGATGACATAATGAACTCTGCTTCCAGGACCAAACTACTCTGCATTTATTAAGGCTGTTTTTTTAAACATGTTTTAATGCTTTATATCTTGTTATAGTTAATCTGAACAAGCCCCTAAAAAAAGGTAGTGATCACTGTCGGCCTCTCTCATTTTTTATTACTACTATTCATTTAGAGCTTTTTAGCTTTAAAAGCTCAAGCTCTCTCTGAAAAGCCTTTAGTTAATCCAAAATGCTGCAACAAGAGTATTGACAGGGACTAGAAAGAGAGAGCATATTTCTCCTATTTTGGCTTCCCTTCATTGTCTCCCTGTTAAATCCAGAACTGAATTCAAAATCCTGCCCCTCTAATACAAGGTTTTAAATAATCAGGCCCCATCTTATCGTAATGACCTTATAGTACCATATCACCCTATTAGAGCACTTCGCTCTCGCACTGCAGGCCTACTTGTTGTTCCTAGAGTATTTAAAAGTAGAATGGGAGGGAGACCCTTCAGTTTTCAGGCCCCTCTTCTGTGGAACCAGCTTCCAGTTTGGATTGGGAGACAGACACTATTCTACTTTTAAGATTAGGCTTAAAACTTTCCTTTTTGCTAAAGCATATAGTTAGGGCTGGACCAGGTGACCCTGAATCCTCCCTTAGTTATGCTGCAATAGACGTAGGCTGCTGGGGGATTCCCATGATGCATTGAGTTTTTCCTTTTCAGTCACCTTTCTCACTCACTATGTGTTAATAGACCTCTCTGCATTGAATCATATCTGTTATTAACCTCTGTCTCTCTTCCACAGCATGTCTTTTATCTTGTCTTCCTTCTCTCACCCCAACCGGTCGCAGCAGATGGCCGCCCCTCCCTGAGCCTGGTTCTGCTGGAGGTTTCTTCCTGTTAAAAGGGAGTTTTTCCTTCCCACTGTCGCCAAAGTGCTTCATAGGGTCATATGATTGTCGTTTTTTTTTCTTTGTATCTATTATTGTAGGGTCTAACTTACAATATAAAGTGCCTTGAGGCAACTGTTGTTGTGATTTGGCGCTATATAAATAAAATAAAATTGAATTAACCTCTTATACCTTACCTTACGTAACTACAGCCCAGTCCATGCAGCAGTATATTAATGACTAACCTCATATTGTGGATGG